TGGATTTTAGTGTTTGAAGTACTTGAAGAAAACAGGCTCCCAGCAGCCAGTGCTGCTGAATGCATGGGGACATTTATTAGTGATGAATTCAAGGGTTTGGCCTGTTTAAGATCATTACTTTCTGTTTCCCGTGTGTTACACATCTCATGTTTTCACACAGCCCACATGTGTCCCCATGTAATGCTGAGAAATTCTCTTTCACCAAAGAATAGCTAATTGGTAATGTGTAAATATTGTTCTCGTGGGGAGAATGAGCCATCGTAAGATTCAGCTCGACACTAATGAGAAATCCAGTGTGGTCAGTGGATTGTTAACTAAATCTCTCCTGGAAAATTGTCTTTTACTGTGCCTCACTATTTCTTTGCTGTTGCTGCTGCTGTTTCCAGACTTGAATAAATGGGCTGGCACTTTAATTGCAGTATTTCCCCCGTAATTATTTTCATAGCTTTGTTACCCCTTCTTAGAAGCTGGTTTGTTGAGGACACCTGTCAACAGAGCACAGAGCACTATAACTGTATATAACTACTCATTCATTATGTGAGGTACCTGAAGTTTTCTTAAGAGGAAAAAGTCACTTAGATAATTGTATTATATTAGAGATAACGGCATATTTACATATTCAAAGCTATCTTAATGTCATCAGCAATCGGAAACTAGCTCCTGAATTTACAAATGTTACAAAGAGTAAATGCTTAGGAGCAAGTATCAGAGATTATCACCTCAGTAGAAGGTACTAAAGAAAACCATTTGCTAATTAACTTAGAGCAGCCAGATTGTATCTCTGCTGCCCAGGCATGGAGGACCCATGGGAGAGCCTGGACTTCTTCCTTCAAAGGGCACCACAAACTCTGGGGGGGGAATACAGTCGTCCGGCTGCTGCTGTCAGAGCAGACCACATCTTTCACGTGCATCCGAACCAGCACGGCAGGCTCTGTGCCCTGGGACACACTCCTCCTCCTGAGCTGCCCCACACTCAGAATAGCAATTTTCTTCTTATTGCTATGGTCTGCAGCTAAGCTCCTAGCTTTTGAAAGAGGCTTTTAAAAACATAGCTTGACTGCAGTCCAGTGCCACTTGCTATCTTTGTTATAATACATGTGTTTATGTTTTCTTTAGAGCTCCTGTCCCATATTGAAGTTTGCCAATTAAAATAATGCTCTGTGTTGTATTAGGTGACAGTGCAGTGAACCTAACAGGATTTTCAGCTAAGGAAGAGCAAATGCACGGAGAATAATAGAAGGAAAAAAATTCCTGCTAAATTTCTACTCATTTCATTTTGAATTGATTCAAATACCAGTATTGAATTGTTTTTGAAAACAGAAAGTCCACAGTTAGTGTCAAAACTTTGTCTTTCTCTTAGTGAACCAGGAAAAATAACAGAGCTCTTTCTAACATCTGTGTTGCCTAAATACGAAGTGATTTTTACTGTATGGCAAGGATTGTTTTAACCTATTTGCTCCATCTATTAAAATGGGCCAGCTCTTTCTTTTTCTATACACACAAATGAATTTATGCACACAGGGCAGTTTAACAAGCACGGAGCTTCCTATTATCAGTAAATGCTAGTACAACTCTACTGTAGTTATATGTTAACCCTAATCTAACTGTATGAATATCAGGATACTCAGATACATGTCTTTCTAAATATTAGCATAAATCAAGTCTCTACTAACTAAAAAAAGATGTTAAAATATTAAACCAAATGTCTTTTAGTAATTTTTTTTCACTATTCTGTTGTAATGATCTCTGTCTTTAATTTCTGAGCAAGATAATTTCCTGAACTTAACAAGCAAGTGCTACCTTTTTTTCAAGCTCTCCTACATTATTTCTAACCATATAAAAATACCTGGATATTCCTTTTGAGCATATGTCATCATAAAGGTAATCCTTCCAAAGGCATGCAGAAGCCTGGTGTCAGTTCTGTTTTGCTCCATTAGCATAGGTGCATTTTGTGGTACTATTGTGGGTCTGGATGGGGTCTGACAGGGGAGGGCTGGCAGCATTTTTTAAACACTGTCCAAAGCAAGCGCTTCATATTTATTAGTCTCCTGGAGGAGTATTTTAAAAGTCATGAAACTATTTGTTCTTAGAAGTAAATTACTGCATGTACTGAACAGCACATTGGTGTTCATGAGCAATAATCCAAACAGCATAAGTTAACTTCTACATATCACAACAGTCATTTATTAAGATATATTGCTTCTGTGTGGTGCCATCTCAAGTTCACAAATGGATACTTTGATTTAATCTATTTAAATTGAAGTTAGACTTGTGCAATAGAGATTTGTGAGAAAAGCATTGAAGGACCTGCTGAAAATAGCCTGTAGGAGGGAAAAAAACAGAGGAAAATAATTTTGCTTCTTTACCTTTCTGAGATGATTGCTTTAGTCATGGGAAAGCATTTCACTAACTGAAAATATACTTTTAGGATTTCCATAGTAACAGAAGCCTATTAAAGCTTCCCTCTGGCCCAGAGATCCCTTTATTTACTATTGCTTTTTAAGGTTTGTGCATACTTGTTCTTCATTGTTTTCTTTAACCGTCCTCAAGAAGTCACTTTGTGCAAGTTTTTCAGAATGCTCTCTGCATTGTATTTTTTTGTTAAAAGAACAGTGATTTTTATGCTGAATTGCTTCATCTCCAAAAGGACATCTAGATAAAATTGCTGGAAAGGATGGGGGTGTGATTCTTGCCTACATAGGAGCAATCTGGTTTCCAGCAAGAAAAATAAAAATCTCTTATTGAGTTCCTGAGTTTTTCCTGATATTTGCTAGGCACAGTCCATGGATGTGTTTTGTAATATTTCATGTATTTAAAATTAACTGACACTTTCTTATTCTTGTTTCTTCATTTTTCATTGTTTAATTAGCGTTTGAGAAAGGCACTGCTGATTTTGAACCAGCAGTATTATGTGCTGAATGCTCAGTTCTGTTTCTAAGCTGTTGGATGTTGTGTTTTCTTTGTACTTTGTAGAGCTGAAATGACAACACAAAGAGACTGGAAAGCATAATCCTTCCAAATGTAATCCCAGTGGAAGAAAACATAAATAAAATCACTTGTATTCCGGCATTCCTTTTTCCCTTTTGTTATTTCTGCAACTTGGCACAAACTCCAATAAACCTATAGAACATTTCTGTGTGTTGCAGAATTGTGCGATAGTTACCAAGAATTTCTCCACTTTAAAATCAAAATTCCATGTAGAATATGAAAAAATTGAATTTCCAAATATCATAATGCCTCTTAAAATAACTAAGCATAGCAGGGTGAACCCTTCCTGTAAAAACACCTCTTTTCTTGTTTTAAGATGTGAAACTGCTTCATTTCACAGTTTACAGAATGAAGCCTGAACCAGGACCAAAAGGAGAGGTGTCAGGGTGTGTTAATGTTAGTTGTCTTGATTATCACTGAAGTTCAGTGTCAAAAAACCTCTTGGAACAGATTCTGTCCTATAAGCCTCTTAGCATGTGAGACCGGATGCCATCCTAAGGAGCCATCCTAAACAAAAAAACCCCAAAGCTAGAACTTCTTTCCCAGTCAGTGATGACAGTCCTGTTGATTGGCATGGGACGATGGTTCCTTCAAGCCCTTGATCATTCTCACTAAACTCCAAGCTGCTCAAGGCAGAGATAATTCAGGTTTGTGATTCCTGCCCAGGTTGGACACAATTCGATGCGTGTATTGCAATGGGGACTGTTGGACCACCTTCCTAGTGGATGCTGGTTTGAAAAAAAAGTCCAATGTATTTCCTTCCACTATACAAAATATTTCTCAGCATCATGAAATCATAATACCCAGGATACAGATCTACTTCTTCCTGGTTTCTAGAAGAGATTCATAGGAGAGGTTTTACTGCGAGTATTCAAAATAACAAGTTGTGTTTATGTGGGATTTTTCTACCAGCAAAGGTATGAAAATATAAAATGAAACTTTACCTTGAAACATCTGTGTGTAAGCCTTAGGTGTTTTTTTAATCTTTTGCCTTTTGTAAATATCAGTTTCATTAGAAAAATAAGCTGTGGGCATTATAAAGTGTAGTGACATCCAATATTTAGAGTGTTGAGTCCAAGTACGAGCACTAGAAGAGATAAACATTAAACCAACCTCTCATGTAGTACTTTCCATGTAAGTATACAAAAGAAACAAAGATATTAAGTATGGGTTGTTTATTAGGCAGTGATTCACAAGAGCTGGGACATTTCTAGAAGGTGTTTCCTTCCTATAAGTGTTTTTACCTTCTATGAGAATACATAAGTTCTGTCAGAAATGTAATCTGCTTTCATAATTTTTAGATTTTATGAATCTATGGAAATTGCAAATGGTTATGATGTAAAAAGTGTAGATTAAACTGTCTTTTTCAGAAAATGCACATTACATATTTTTAGATAAGCATCTGCTTTGAATTATTTGATTCAAACCGTACTCTTCTTCTTCTCCTAAGCACTGGAAAGTCAAGCTAGGTGCTGTTTTATAATAACTAACCTGAACAAAAACAGAGAATTGTTCAAAATGCCTATTGCCTATCAGTTTAAAATATAATCAAGTAAAGCAGCTGTTCTTGTTCTTAATATACTCTTTTGAAAAAAAAAAATCATAGTTTAATGAAAAATGTCTCTTCTCATAAACCCTAAAATACTCACATGTAAAAAGTCATGTTTTGGTAAATAGTTCTTTGTAAGGAATGTGGATGAGACATACCTACTCCATAACTGCAACACCATGTAAGACATGCTTGATAGTGTGGGAAGAGCAAGGTAAATTAAAAAAGAATAAAATTACAAAATTGACAAACTTGTGGCCCAACTGTGATGCCCTTGCTTGGAGAGGAGGGAGGTTGTCCACACAAGTACTTCCATGAAAGTCAGTAGGGACTACTTGTGTGAGTAATTGCTTGCAGACAGGGATTCCCAGGCTCATGGTAAAGTGAATTCAGGAAATAAACACAGAAATGCTGGGACAATGATTACCAGCAGGATTAATTATCTCTCTCTTTTTTTTTTTAGGAATCCATGGATCATCTTTTGTCCTTGACATAAAAGATTTCTTACTTAAAACAAGTCTCAAGGAAAAGGCCAGATCTCTGATAGGCCCTTTTTGCTGTTCTGTTAATGTGGAAGCCAAGTGGTGTAAGCACAGTGGTGATCCTGGCCCAGAGCAATCTATTCCAAAAATATACATTGATTTGAGAGGAGGACTGCTGCAGGTCTGTATAAGATGCTTATGGTTCTGCTATTGAACTGGGCTGCCCTGGGATGATTGAGATTTCATAAATAAATTGTATGAAAGCCTGTAAAGCTTTGCTTCCTACAGTAGGTCACAAGGTTGAGGGTTTTTGCATGTTTGATTTGAGTGGGTGTTATTTTACCTTATAAAATAAGTATCTATTCTTTCATGTGAAAGTATTGATTGAAAAATCATGTACAGGGTTTGGGGTTTGGGTTTTGTTTTTTTTTTTTAGTACTGCTTAAGCCCTGTATTGTAGCTGTATGTGTGTGTTCCCTAAAACTACTGGATCAAATTACTAACACTTCATATCTAGGATGCTGTTCTAATGGGTGTGTATTTGTCTGTTCATGAGCTATGTGTGTGTAGTGTGTAGGAGTAGCTTTAAGAAGTACATATCCTTTCTTTTTAAACTTACACGAATTTCTCAGGGGAGTAATTGCAAACTGTTGTTTGTAGCAATTAATATTCAGTTTGCTGTGCTATCCTCTCCATTTTGAAAGTGCCCACAACTTGAAACCAGTCCAGGAAGCATGGGAGTTCTTGAAATGAAAAATAGATTCTGTGGGGCTTGAACAAGTGGGCTTTATGATATGTCTTGTTTTAATTATTTTTATTATAGTATCTATACACAACAAATGTTTTAAAATAAATACATAAATCAAGCACATAGAACACAAAAAGGAAATCTTGACATTTAATCGTGTCATTAGGTCTTTTCCCAGAGCTGGCATTGGAAGTTACTCAAACCACAGCATTGGGGACAGGGCTACTCAAATAATGCAAATTTTTTTAAAAAAGTTTTAATTAATATATAAAGTCAGTTTGTTTCTCTGCTTCTTTTTAATTTGTTTTTCATAGATACTTGGCTGACTACCTCTATGTGTTGTTAATAAAAGTTTTTTGGGTTTTTTTCCAAAAATTTTGGGGTTTTGACGAAGACCAGAAAAATATTTATAAATCCAAGAAAGCCATTTATTATTAGAGAATATACTGGGATAATTAGCTTTTGCAGAAAACAATTAAGTATTTGGTCTGGCAGAATAGATGTGAGAATGCTGACAAAAGCATTAGCAGTTCTGTTTCAAATTAATTTATTTAGAGCTAATGATTTTACCATCTCTAAACATGACCTCATCTTCTACCACTGTTAATTTGTATTACAGCAGAGCCTTGAGAGCTTATATGAAACTGGTGCTTCATCTGTGAATATTGTAGTAGGAGTTCCATGCCCTGGAGTTCCCAGATACCTAAAAATAAAATTAGTAAAAGTTGGGGAATGGGGGGGTGTAAGAACATTCATCCCTCCTCTGTCAGTGGGGAACTGAGGCTTCTGAGATTGGCTTAGGTGTCAGAGAGCTTCTTTGAGGTGGTGCTAGACCAGATGTGAGACTGAGCCCACTCTAGAAATTGCAGTAGGGATGTAGTAAATTAGTGGGGTACCTGGCTAGCCTGGGAATGTTTAACTCAGGACCGGTTGTGTTTCTAGAGGGTCTTGGTTTATTCTGTGGGCTCACATGTAGATGGAGGGGAAGGAAAACCTTCCTTCTTGACAGCTAAACTGCACTCCCTTTGGCATCTTCTGTTTGTTTGGGGTTTTTTTTCATGTTTGAAAATGGATATTCCCCAGTGAAAATCTTTGCACTACTCTTTATGTGCACACTTGCCCTATTTACTTCACTCACACCCATACTATGGACTTGTAAGTTACTGTTTGGAGATTTTGATTTCATCCTACACCGATTTCCAAGTCTAATCTCTTTATTAATTTCTACTTGCTTCCTTGTCTTCCATTTGGTTTCTAGGCCTGCTTCTGCACATATAGACTAAAGGACTTGTCCCTATTATTATGATTCTCTTAAATAGCTTGATTTGAGAAAAGCAGCAGTGCTTGTCAAAACCGGGAGAGAGGAATGTCTACTTGCCTTTTATTTTACTATAAAGTGTGTGAATCTTCTGGACTTTGAATGCCTGACTTTATTAGATATTTTTCTGAATTTCTGTTTTAAACTTCAAAAAACTTTAAACTTTTTAACCACATTCTGAGGACTTGCAGAGCATCCAGTTCCTATGCTTCAATTTGTGTTCAAGATGATCTTTCAAGTCACCTTCTTTGCTATGTCAGTTTTTAATGTATTCCAGAATTCCACTTTTGGAGCAACAAACTCTTTGGACAGTTTAAACTTTGTATCTTTCAGACTTTTTTGTCATATCTTGAACTGCAAAACCTGTGACCAGTCCTAACATTACAAACTGTTCTTGAATATGACTTTTAAGATCAGTGGTCTTCCAGGCAGCATCACTATGAATTGTTAACTAGTAGGAGTTAATGCTTTCTTTCAAATTATGTAATAAACAAATTTGCCAAATGCTTTTGTAAAGATTTTTTTTTGTTGTTCCTGTTCTTTATTTTCACATTAAGCATACTTGCAAGCAATTAGGGTGTAAGTAGAGCAGGCTGAAAGCCATTTAAAGTTTCTATTGTTTTAGGGAGGGATTTTTCCCTTCAAAAATGACTGAATATTTGTATGTAATTGTTTCATCTTTCCTTTTTTTTTTCTTTTTTTTTTAAGGTTTTCTGGGGTCAAGAGCATTTGAACTGTTTAGTTCTTCTCCAGGAGCTTCTGTGGCAGTACCTTGCTAAAAAGGGCAGTGTAGAGACATTGGCACCTGAACATAAACACCCGACTTGCTTTTCTGTGGAAAGGAATCAGGCCTCAAAAACTGAGCATACCTCAGATGATCTGAGAACAGGCCTGTTCCAGTATATACAAGATGCAGGTAAGAAGAATATTATGGCTCTGTTTTTTGTCTAGATTATAAAGTAAAACCAGTAGTAACCTATTAGAGATTACTTGCTTCTTACAATGAATAACTGCATTTTTTTGAAAAGCGGTTGAAATGACATCTGCTAGAATTAAAAAAAAAAAAAAAAAACCAACTTTAAAAGACTTTTTTGATTCCCTTCCATTAGGCTGTAATCTTTTAAAAGTCAGGGAAATTGCTTTTTTATTTTCTCTCCTTTTGATCCCAAGGGATTTATTTTTAACCACTTTGGTTTCATAAACCAGCATGTTTCTTTCTAGAAATTGTATAATACATTATAGTTTTCTTTCATTTGACAGAAGCACAAAAGCTGCCTGGTGCCTATGAAGTTGTGTTTTACAATGAAACTGAGGACAGTCCAGGAATGATGTTGTGGAGATATCCAGAACCCAGAGTGCTCACTCTTGTAAGAATCAACCCTGTTCCTTTTAATACCACTGAAGACCCAGATATTAGCACTGCTGACCTTGGAGATGTTCTTCAGGTGGGTAATGAGAGTTTTCTACATTGAGTAACAAATGAAAATGTTACTGCTGTAAAGTGAGCGTTTTCAAACTCGATTTATTAAAAATAAGCACAAAACTAATGTCAGGAGCTCTATAAAATCAATATGAGGCAAATTCCACAGCTTGAGCACATCTTTAATTTTAAAACTACTTGTGCAGACTTTTTAACCACTTATCTCTGAAGTTTTACTATTGCATAATAAGCTGGCTAGAATTTATCACTTCTGGTTTGCTAGCATACAGAGTTTTTATTCTGACTTCCTGTGATTTCATCTATCAGTCCTTGCTTAAAACGTCATTTGTTTTGAAACTGAAGTATGTGAGGAAGACCTGGTCTGAAATTTCCCAGATTTAGTGGAATCTCCACTCCAGCCATTCTCTCCTGTGTCTGTGTTGGCAGATGGCTCTGCTGCTTCTACTAAGGTCCACAGGGTAGAAAGAAAGTGTCTGTCTTCTCTTGTTTTGCTTCGAGAGGGTTGAAGTGGGCAGTCCAGTTTGTCTGTGAGATCATGGAACTGCTCTTCGAAGGAGGGCTGAATGCTGCAGCTGTGTGACTGTGCCCCAGAAGTAGACCATACCTCACAATTTCACTGATCCTTAGCTCCATAGTTTTTGCTTTCTAATATGTGCAATCGTAGTCACATTTTCTCCTGTCTAGTATAATTCTTTATAAATTCACTTATTCCTTGCATACCTATTTTGATTTTAGCTCAGTTTTAATTCTGTTAATCTCAGTTTCCCTTTTGTATTACAAATTGGGCATGTCATTATTTTTTAAAATTTCAATCTGGTTTTTAATTAGAACAGTGTTGTGAGTCAAGGGAAATAAATATCTCCCCATTCTTCCTATTTATTAAAAAATGTTGAATTGTGTTTCATTATTGCTGTAACGTTAAAAATTGCTTTTAAAATTGAATTATGTACCAATATGCTTTGAGTTATGAGGAAGTAGGATAATCTTCCTCAGATAAATGGTATAATGTTATTACCATGCACATACTGTTAGTGAGATCATGTAAGTGTCCTGCCAATTTCTTTGCCCTCTAGACAGCCAAATGTCAACTCTTTTCAGTTACATGAAAATTAAAATTAAATGGAAAAAAATCAGCTGTACTTGGCATGAGGTTTGAATCAAAGATCAAAATTGTGTTATTCTAGGCTGTCTTGATGACCCTATTAGGTTGCTATGAGAGCCAGGATTTTGCCCTCTTTTAGGATGGTATTTTTGGAGTACAGCACACCAAGTTTTTGGTATAATTACATTACACTGCCATTATAGATAACAGACATCATGAGCCATATTGTATGTGCTTGTGTAATAATGTGACCCTGTCGAGGGGGAATATCAGTTCTTCTTCAAGTGGGCATACAAAGCTGGGCTGCTAGTAGCACACACGTTACGCTGCTTTGTGCTTCCACACTGTGGTCTAGAGGAAGAAGGGAAGTTGCAATCCTTTTTCCTGTCTGCTGTGATTGCCTCAGAGAGTAAGACAGAAAGCAGGAAGCGCTCAGCCAGCAGCAGTCAGGTTCTGTCAGCTTCCACTGCTGTTCATGGAGTTCCTCAGATTTCTACTACAAGGGAAGAGATGAAAGCTATCAGCTGAATTAGAGGACATGTATTTAGATCTTTGATCTTGGGCACGCAGGGTGCAGAAATGCCAAGAGGATCAACATTTTGGTTGTGGGCCATTAATTATGGCGGTAACCGTTGCCTGGCTCGAGGTGGGGATTTTTCATATTTTCCAGAAATGGCCATATCCCCTGCACAGAGAAGCTCTGCACAGTGTTGATGAACAGCCATTATAAACATGGACAGTGTGCGTATTTTTATTAATCTAACAGAGAAATGTGGGTGGAATAAGTAATACAGAGTTGATTTTCAATTTTTTTAGGTAAACTGCATTTATCAAATACTTATCCCAAACTTCAGGCTCTAATTTGAATCAATCATGAGGCCTTTCATCAGCTCCACTTTTTCCCCTGTATAAATATATGTTTGTTTATTAACACACTGTGTATTTAGTGCATATGGAAAATTCATTAAATATAAAGATAAAAAAGACAAAACAACATTTATTTTATTCAGTTCTTGAAATGAAACATTAGAGAAATATCTGCAAGCCAAAGACTTCAGCAAAGGATCTGCATTTGAAGATAATAATGATAAAAAAGTATATTCAAATACATTTTAAAAACTTTCCCAGGATTGGGTGTATGTTCAAATGCAAGGAGGACCCATAATGTCACCCACTGTGTTACCAGTCTCTCTCTACTTTACATGAATCCTGTCAAAGGTGCACCTCTGTAGTTTGTCATGAATTAAAAGTCTGCCGGTTGCATGTTCTTTCTTTCTAAGTGTCTGTGACATTTCTTCTAGCTTTCTATCTTTGTTAAACTTCTGGCATATCGTTTTAATCATGGGTAGGTTTTAGAAGTCTCTGGTTTTATAGCTATTCTTCAAATTCCTGGAACTTGGAAAAGCTTCACTATTGAGAGAATTTTTCTAAAAATTGAAGGTGCATGTCATCTGCTGTGGCCAAAGGATAGAGAACAGCTTCAGATTGTAAGAGTTGATATGAACTATGTTTTTTTCTGTCAAACTTTACCTTGCTGCTGTTTCTAGATTGTCCCAAAAGCCTATTTTCTTATGCTTTTACTTGCAAAAGCAGTTTCACTGGTCATGTTTCTAATACTTTGCTTTTTACGGGTCCAAACATTGTTGTTTTATTTGTGGAGGGAACCGGAAGAATTAATGTTTCTGCCATGGCATAGCATGTGGCATTTTCTTTAGCAATGTGAAATAGAAGTTTGATCTAATTGTTTGAAGGAAGTGAGAATTCTAGGTGCACTTACAAGAAATTGCATCAGGATTGTGTTTTTGAGGGGAGGTTGAGAGTATCTGAACTTGTTCTTCCTGCCTAGCAGACATTACAGACACTTTCTTTTTAATTTTTAATCCCCCATTGTCCTATTTTCACATGCTACAAATGTTCTTTGGCTCTGTGATTTACCATTCTTTCAGATAACTGGTATTTGGTGAAACACCTTTGGACTTCCCTGATATCTCTTTTTAACTTCTAAGGAGTTCCTGTTCAGTGGCATAAGGTGTTTCTCAGGTACTAAAGCCACTGTAACATCTTTTTCTGGCCCTTTTTTATCTGGAGACCTTTTCTTATTTTACTCCTCTTATGTCTACATCACTGCCAAGACCTTTTCTGAATATAACTTCTCAAGACTGTTTTAAAGTTTATATGGTAGTATTTGGAAGCTCTTACTAATGAAAAGAGGACATACACAGGTATTATTTTTGAAACGCAAGATCAGTTAAGTGAAACAAAAAACAGTTTCTGAATGTGCTTACAAGTGGTTTGGGTGCAACCTTGTATAGCTAAGTGGGAAAAAAAGTTAATACTGGATTCTGTGTCAAGAAAGAAACATGCTATGGATGTAGAATATTCCTGAGTCTTTAATATTGAAAATGTTTCTAATTTTTTGATCAAAACTATTCTCTTGACTGCTCTGTCAGCTTCTGCATCATTTCCACTGATGATTGCCTGTTTTTCAAGTTGTGAATTTTTTTTTATTGATGTTTAGAAAGGTCTAGCCAAAATATCTCAGTAAAGGTCAATGTGGGGTGAAGGAATATGCACACAAGAGCGTCATTTCGTGTTCCTCTAGGAAGAAAAACTAAATGGGCTGTGTCTTATCCAAGTAATGTGATAAATACTGCTTTGAGCCACCACTGATCTACCCCTTGTACGAAGGAGATCTACAGAAAAGACCTTCAGGCAGCCACTCAAATGTTGGTAGAGGCATACCATTTTGATCTTGAATGTTGCTAAGATTATTTTAAAAATACACAGAGAAGAAAAAGCATATTCTACTGATAACTTCACTTAGCACAACACTTATTTCAAAAGAGTGAAGTTAATCCCAGCACTGAGTCCATCTAATGTCATATAAATCAGGATGATTTATTACTGCCCAAATCAGCAAGGGCCAAGGGTAGAATGGTGTTGACATTAGAACTATATTGCCCCCTGAGGAGCAGAGGACAGTCCAAACTTGGAAAAATTTCACAAAATTAATTCAAAAGTTAAAAAGCAAGATGAGGTAGCAATGCCTTTACTTTAAAAATATTGAAGACTGATAAATCAAAAAGGGATGCTCTCTGAGACTTTCTTTGTTATAACAAACGAAACTTAAATCCTTCAAGTAGATTGCTGGTAAGAGGAAGTCTTGTGGTTAAAGATATGTGGATAAGCAACTTCAAAAGCTTATTTTATTATGTACTTAAAGAAAATACATCACAAAACCAGAGACAAAGCCTACTGTTTTTGCTCCCAAAGTTTAGTTAATGCTACATTTAGGACGTTATCTTGTGTAGATAATTTCTATAATAAAAACTGTGCAGGTGTTTATAAATTTGTCTTAGCAAGTATTCAGTGTGAAGACTTAAGTCATGCCTCAGTTTCCCAGTTTAACAGTAAACTATATGCTGTAAGGCAACCAGCTCTTCATAACAGGGCAACACGTCTTGTATTTGCTCTATGATGGTCTTGGTATGTAGCAGGTAAAGTTGGAGTCTGGGGGCAGTGATGATTCTCGTTCTTATGAAATCTGACCGTAAAATATCTTCCACCGAGATGTGGAAGCACAGTAATAGCCTTCAAGCAGAATTTAGTTTATAATGTACATAGGAATGTCTCTTGCAGAGATGTCGGAGTTGTAGGAGATACATGAGCATCTCAGGAACAAGAATGTGCTAGACAGTCTAAACTGCAGAGCAAGGGCTTCAGAGTCTCTCTCTTCATCTCCCAAATGATGAGGACATAGACTTGAGCTGGCTACTGGGACAGCTGAAAGAGAGTTTGTAGCAATTTCCTCCATCCTGATTGTTCTGGTTGCCTTGGAAGTATGGCATTAAGAAGAAAGGAGTAAGAGCAGTTTTGAATTCCAGACAATAGTTTATGATTAT